CTACCTGTATTTACAATCCCATGTGTATTATACATGTATATTAACTCAAAATTTTGAAACTTTAAATGTTTATATCTAATAAGCTAATAAAGTTATATTAAAAATTCAAATGCCATTTACTATTAAATTAAAAACTCAAACATTTTATTAAATTAAAAATATGTGGTACCATTTAAAAAAACAAAGTTGACCCCTTTCCAAGGCATAAGGGATGAACTTAAAAAGTATTACATAGTTAAAAATACAAGAATAATATGTAACTAAAGATAATAAAAAATAAAAATGTTTAAATTATTATTATTCTGCAAGTAATTGAGTGGGTTATGATAAAAAAATCAACCTGNAACAAATACGATGTTCAACACAATTTCTTATTATTTATGTATATATATATATGTCAATTTATCAATTGTTAAATATGCTATCTGAATATAATAATCATGTAATGTATAATTAAATACAATAAACTAAAAAGATCACTAAAAGCGCTGACAACAATATCCCTGGATTGGGGGTAATATCATTTTACTATAAAAAGCACTGAAATCCTTTCAGACTTCGGAGAAACAGAAGGAGAGAGAGAGTTCGCTTTCTCTGAATTGAAATAAGAATAAAAAGAAACAATTATCAGTCACAGCCCTGTGTGGTTGTCGGCTGACTTTTTATTTATTTATACGATTTATTTATACATGAAAAGAACTTGTTTTAATTATTTATCTTTTGACGAAGTGCGAATTAAATACTTTTAAACATATCGAGATATTTATCAAATCATTTTACAGCAATTTACAAGAATAAAAGAAGTAAGTAATTTTATGTTATCCCAAATATTTGGAGTTAATAAGTTTGAGTAAAGGATGACAAAGCAATAGATCATTTATTAAATTAATATCTTAAAGTGTCAATTTTGACTGGTTGGTTAAAGAAATTATACATAATCACGTTATATGGTATTCGTGAACTGGCTTCGCTGTTTCGTTGCCTCTTAGTTAGTTAGGTCATTAGAAACTAGCCAGACAAAAGTTTATTACACCTCAAACAGATGTACTGCTTTTATTATTTTTATATTTACTTGTCTTTGTCGTTCTAAACTCTCGAACCATACGACACTGATTTTTTATTTTAATAATTTTTGTTATTTTAATTATAACACATATTTTTATTTTTAATCAATTAATAATATTTATGTTTATTTTTTCTTAGCATTCAGAAACATATACGCGAAATATTATCACGAAATACTTAAATATATTAAAAAATCAGTGCAAGTAGTTTATAAGTTAAAAGCTTTGGGGTGTACAATCGAGTTTTAAAATATTTGTAGAAAATCAATATCTCTTGTATTTTTCAGACCACATAAAAGAATATACTAACAATTTACACATTTAATTCTGATTTTTTTTCATTATATAGTTTTCTTTAAAAAATGGTATAAGTTTTTAAGATTAGTATTTTAGTATTTAGTGTAAGCTAAAATATATGATATCTTGAAAAATGTTATAATTGACTTAACC